TTTTTTCGTCTTGAATTTGTTTGTGCTCGGTTGGCTACACGTAGCTAATGCTATTCTTGTAATTTGATTAAACTACATTTGATTAGACTGCTTTATAATTAGCCAGTATTTTTTATTAATAATTCATTTATATATCTATAACGAAAGTTTTCTTTTTGTAAAGAAAAATGTTATTATTTAATTACAATAATTTAATAACAAAAATAATTCAGTTAATGGATGAACATTTTTTGATAGTCCTGTATATAATTTCTTATTAAAATTTTAAAAAATATATACGATTGTTTTCTCCTTTTTCAAAATTATTATTAGATGTGATTATTTTTTTTTTTTTTACTTTTTCTTTAATTGTATATATTGATGAAGAGATTAAATAATATAAGAAAGCAAATTTTTAAATATAAATTGTTTTATTTAATATAAATTAATTTATTTATTAAATATTGTGTTATTTTTAAGCGAAATTAGAATATTAGATTATAAAATATAATGAAGACTTTTATAATTAAATATGTATATATTTTTCAATATTAAGTACACTCATTCTCCAATTTAAATCATTTTTTTTTATGTAGAGTTTCTTTTTACACAATGAATCTGTTTATATGAATTTTTTCTCAATTTTAATTAATATCTTTTATGCGATTCTTTTTTTTTTCACTTTCATTATTGCTATTATAGCTATTATAATTAGTATTATAAAATACGAATATCGAGATTACATACTATATTATATTTTCGTTTTCTAAATATAATTTTATATGAGAAAAAAATCTTAGTGATTCCTAAAATTCGCAATATCGATTATTAATTAATATATACTCAATTGATTTTTAAATATCTTTTTTTCAAAGATGAGGCATTTTAATTTCATTATTCTTAATTTTCATTTTATTTAGAGCTATAAAATCTTTCTGATTTTATTTATATCTGATTATAAATTTTGAATTCACATTGTATTTATAGGATTTTTGAAAATTGTATAATGGAAGCTATTTTATAAGGTAATATGTAAAAATAAATACAAAAGTTGATATGATTATAAAAATGTTGATTGAGATTATTTATTAAGTTACAAACAATTTTATTTTAAGTTGAACTAGGCGAAACAGAGCAAAACAATGATGTGATTATTTCTAGAGATATTTCATTTTTATTTGTGTCTTCAATTACTTATAACTTAATAAATAACTCTTAATTAATATTTATTTTTTGTGTTTGCTTGGTTTTTAGAATTAATCTCTCAAAGAGATTTTTCTATGTATATTTTGCATGCATAATGCGAAGTATGGATTTTTTATGAACCTTTTTTGTTTTTTAGATATTAAAAATTTTATAGCAATTTTTTCTTTTGATGAATCATATGATTAATGATACTATTATTATTATTTTAAATTTTATGATCATATCAAGTATGATTCATATACTGCAACAAATTTAATGAGCTTGTTTTTAATTCTGATTATAAGTAAAAAAAAGATTTTTTGAAAAGATAATGAATTAACTATAAAAACGTTTTAGAAATCATTGAGATAATAATATAAAAATGTTTCTATTCTATATTCTAGATTGAAAACGGAAAATTTCGTTAACATAAGTATATATTTGGAAGATTATTTTGAACAAAAAATATAATATATTTATACACTATAGATTGTTTTTGTTCTCGAAACAAGAATAATATGAATCTCAAAAAATCAAACAAAGTATTTAATTTTTAATAATCATTTGAAACTGATATTTTATATTGATTTGTATTGGGATATAAATAGATGTTTTTCAATCACTAAATTTATTTCTTTTTTGCACGGTTTTTTATATAAGGTTATAAAAAATTGCATAAAATTAAAAACTTGTTGCGTCAATATTTTTTAATTAATAAAAATTTTAATTAATAAAAAATTTTAATAAACATTAAAAAAATTTTAATTAACATTATATTAATTAAAATTAATTATGAAATTAATAAAATTAATCAATTAATATAATACATTATAAACATTAAATAAAGTTTAAAAAACAAATTAGCACTAAAAAAGATCTTATTCAATGGAAAATATGCTTATTTAACAATTATTTTGAATAATTTGTATAAACAAAGTCAATATAATCAATGTGAAAAAATAATTATAAAGAAATAATTACTATTAAAAATTAAATAATTGAAATGCATTCTTATTTGTGGAATGCATTTTTTTATCTTGAGAATGAAAACGAAACAATCTATATATATATAATATATATATAATATTTAATTAAAATAATTTCCTAAATATATTATCAAAGTTCTTTGTTTCTGATTTGACTCATTATAGATATAATGATATATGTTTTAATATTGTATCTTTAAAATAATTTTTCATTTATAAGTTTTTAATTCATTATTTTAAAATTTTTTTTTAAAATTCTGAAAAATCCTGGCGCTTCCGATAAAAGCTAAAAAACAATATGTATTGAAATTGCAAATTATTATTATTATTAATTATCGTATCATATAATTTGAATTAATAATTAAAAAGTTTTTTAAAATTTTATTAATAATTAAAGAACATTATCTATAACACAGTACAAAAAGAATTATTATTGGAAAATAAACATGAATTTTTCGTCTATATTCATTAAATTTTATACAGTAGAATTAAATAATTATACAAAATTTATAAATATTAATTTAGATGTATATTTTTATTAACAATAATAAACAATTTGTACAGATGAGCAGCAAATTTAAAAGAATTTAAAATAGTTAGATTAGACTATTTTATAGACAAATTCCGCTGACATAATTTGTTCAAAGATAAAAACGAGGTAGAATCTACGTATCTCTATTATTTTTAATAAGATGATTATAAGATGAATTATAATATTAGCAATGAGATAGATAAATTTTAAATATTAATTATGCATATTTAAAATTTAATGGTTGAAGTTAGCATATAGTCAGTTTTTGCTGCATTTTTGATATCTTAGTTATTATGCAGACATTACTTCATTTTTGTTTTCAATTTAAGAACAGGATGCGAATTTGAGAACAGAATTATTACTTATTTACTCTAAACATCCTGATAATTGGCAATAATTGATATAAAATGTGTAATTATCAATAGCCAATGAATTAATATAATTCAATATCTATATAGTATATATATATATATATTAATATACATATTTCTAGCTTAGGATTTTGGGATTTTTCGAATCCAAAATGAAATATAAAATAAATTGATCTTATATAAAATTACAATCTATCATACACCTTCTATCTTATTGTTTCAATAGTTAAAGATGTCATAAATTTTTTAAAGTTTTATTATTATATATTTATTAAATAATTGAATTTTACAAAAAAAAATAGATGCATGTAAGTTACATTGAATGTGTTTCCACAAAATGAAAAATATGTAAATTAATTAATGTATTAATTGAATTTTAAAAAAATATGTGTACATAAACATTTGCAATTATATTCTTTCAATAATATATATATGCGATTCTTCATCTATTGTTTCAGGTATTGTTTCTATTGCTGGTCATTTGCCTTTGATTCATGGAAATGTCAATTACATGTTCGTGATAGGGCCAATGACAAGATATGCGGAGGATCTTAATTTGATGATGAATGTGTTAACTTCCAAATGCGAAAAACCTTTACGTTCGTATGATTCCATTGAATTAAAAAATCTAAAAGTTTTTTACTTAGATAGCTTTCCTGATATAAAATCATCTTCGATGGAAATAACTGAGGTAGTCTATAAAGCTTCACAATATTTATTAAACAAGGGTGCTATCGTGCAAAGAGTAATTATTCTATAATAAGTTTATAATAATTTCATTCTAAAATAATCAAAAAATATTTAAAAATTTTTAACTTTAAATAATTATATTTGTATCGCAGTTCCCAAAAGACAAGCTGAAAAATATATTATACATGACATTCTCTTTATTTTCTGAACTAAAAGAATTTAATCTACTAGAGGTAATAATTATTATGATATATTAATAATAAATGAATATATTTTTATTATTATTTTTAATTTAATTTTTTGAAAATTAATTATTTGTAATTTATTTTCTTTTTTTTAGGGAAGAAATTCAATCCTTGAAATGGGAAAGTCAATAATAGGATTATCATCGTTTACAAAAACATGTTGTCTTATACAAATGTTCATAGACAAAAATGCATTTATATCAATTTCAAAGAAACAATATTATATTAATGCTGCAAAAGAACTTACTCGAGAGATGAATGTATGATTAATTATTCATTCAATGATGTAATTTACAGTATTATATATATATATATTTATATATATATATATAATCCTAATTTTATTATAAAAATGTTTTGTTTATAAGAATGAATATTTACTTTTATTCTATTATTATGCTTTTCTTTGTATTCTATTATTATTATCTGAGATCTTCTATTCATAATAGAATTAGATTCTATTATTATTTTTCAAGAAATATTTAATTCAAAAAAGATTGCTTTAAAAGATCTTAACTAATTAATATTTTTATCATCTTTATTTATTCTTTTAATTATAATAATTTTCCGAGAAAGTGCCTAAATTAATAAACTTATTTTATAACTTGCGCTTTTTTTACCTTTTGTATTATTATTCGAATGGAATAATAATTATGATGATTATAATAAATAAATAATAATATAATAGACTTTTAGAATAATATAGACTTTTAGAAAATCTCATAGTATATAATTATATCTATATTTGTTATCATATCAATCTAAAATTTTTTTATGTTATTTACAGGATATATTAAAAGATAATGGAGTATTAATATGCCCATCCTATTTTCGTACAGCATCTTTTCCACAAACAATGCTTTTTGAAATAAATAATTGCATATATAGTTCATTAGCAAATATAACAGGTTTACCTTCAACACACATACCAATGGGTATGGATAAAAATGGATTACCAATTGGATTTCAAGTAATTAATAAATTAATCTCATACTTTTCTAATCATATCTTCAGAATTTCTATTTTTGTAAAATTTATTTTTAATTTTGTTTCAGGTAATATCTGCAGCTAATCAAGATTATCTTTGTCTATTAATTGCCAAAGAATTTGAACAAATATATGGTGGCTGGATTTCTCATTGATAGACTTTTATTCTGCATTGTTATGAATATTTTGCTATGAAATAAGTATTGTTATCAATTTATATTACTTTTTTAACATAGCTTATTTATATAAACATTTGTAATCTAATTATCAAAAATTGTAAACAATGTTAATGTAATATAAAAAAAGAAATGAAACAAATAGATATTTATTGATAAATATAGTTAATTGATACATATTGTTTATTTGTAAACATTTTCCTTTAATATTCACCAAAATTTGCATGTACAATTTGTGTTAAATATCTTATCTTTTTCAACAAACAAATAAAATTATTTATATTATATCTATACGAAGATAGTTTCTTCAACAATGATTTATATTAATTAAAGGAATCATAATGTTTTTCCATTATATTATATTACATTATAGAATGTAAAAGAGTTTTACATATTAAAAATTTATTGTTTTTCACTAAATTTTAACACGATAAGTTAATTTCATTAAATAAACTACCGTTTTAAAAAAAAAATTTCAAATTTAATATCTTCTTTCGAATCGTAATTTTTTAATTACAAAATATTTAATATGAATTTATATTGATTTTAAATATTAAATTTATTATATTAAAAGTAATTATAGTTGCTATGCGCACACCATACTATACATTTACTAATCTATATAGATCCATCTCAGATTTATTATTTTATATTTTCCATGAAAAATTATAATCAATATTAATCAATAACAATATGAATCTATCTTATCGTGATTTAGTAAAGTATTGCCTTTATTATATAATAAAAAAGGCATATATTCTAAGGCACTGTGCTCCGAGTTCATTTTCAATATAAAAATTCATAAAATCTATATAAAAAACTACTTTCACTTGTTGTAATGGAATAGTCTCATTCTTACGATCACATGAAGGCACATAAGGTTTGCCTCCATGTTTCTCCCATTCACGATTGAATTCATGTTCCAAAACTTCTGCACCGCGTTTCCTAGTTAATCCAGTTTCGTCTAGACTCAATTCGCACATCTGCATATCATCAATACCTTTACAAAAAATAATCTTTTTTAATATATTAATTAACATAATAAATATATACGATTATTGATTTTTTTTATAAATCTAATTTTGAAAGCAAGTTTAGTGACATAATAAAAATATATTGACATAATAAAAATATAATGATTCTAATTCTTACAAATAACTGGTGATCAAAATATTATATATAAATTAAATTAAATTATATTATTTTTTGCTATAGATTATAAAATAGATAGAAAAAGAATAAATAAAAATGAATTAAAAACGAATATTTAAAATTATACCTGCTACCAATAAAATTGGTGCTTTGTCTGGATGAAGTTCCATCTGTCTAGCAACATATTGACCATCGAAATGAGCGTACCACCATCCTCGTTTACCAGGTGCATGTGAGTCTTGCTGACCTGTTACAGTTGGTCGTACAAAAGGAATTCTAAAATATCGTTGCGAAGATTCGACTATAGATTGTTTTATTTGAGATCTTGGTGTTTTTGCAGCTGAAAAAAATATTAGAATATATTAATGTAATATGTTCTATCTAAATAACATGCTTCTTATATAAATAAAATCTAAATTTTACCAGCTTCCATGATAGATTTTGGTGCCCTTTCATTTTCATCCATGGTTGTTCGTCTACGATTTCTTGCTTTCCATGCATGATAAACTTTTAATCTACGATGGAATTCATGACGACAAGCCTATAAAAAAAATTATATATAATTTTACTATAACTTCTTACATTTATTTTATTAAATAAGATAATTTCAAATGTATGTAATTTTACCTCTAACAACTCGATATCGCAAGATGTGTTTATTGCATCTCGTAATTCCGAATACTTCCATTTAGATAAATCATATTTTTTATTAGTCAAAGCTACTTGATTATTACGTATTTGCTCCGATCTATTGTGTCAAAAAAAATTAATCGATAT